AGTTGGGCCCGGAGCAGCTCTGTATGGTCCTCATTAGACCAGAACCACAGCGACTCCAATCTCCGTTACGTAAGGCATATCCCCAAATCATATCTGGATGTTACTATGACTTACGGTATATTCCTTTATTGAGGGATATTGGAGTCTCTGGGATCCCCTCCCCAAAGCACCTAAAGCTTGGGACAAAGAAGCGAAGGCGCTGCGCTGTCCGGTCGCTGCCTGGCAGAAGCCGTGGCCGCGGGTGGCCCTGCAGAAGTTGGCTACCCCCAGGGCACCTGGCGCGATGCAGCCGCTCAGGTCTTAAGGAAGACATCGTAGGGTTTGAGAAGGTCCATATTGTAGAGCGCAAATTATGCTATTGTGCTCTTTGCAGCAAGCTGTTGGGCACGTGGGAGATGGGCTATTGGGGATCAGGGGCTTTTTTGGGGAGTGTTAGGGGCTGTTTTGGGGGTGTTAGGGGCTTTTGACGGGGTTTTGTTGGCTACTCCTCAGGGTGTAGAAGGAAGAGGATCTGGTGTTTAAGTCTTTGGAGGACTGTCATGAGCTTGGTGTTTTCCGCGTGCTGTTATTTCACAATGACCTGTGTCGGCATGTCGGTCTTGGCAAAACATTGAACCCGAACTCCCAAACCCAGATCAGAAAAGCAAGCCCGAAGCCCTAAAGGTGCAACCGGAACCTCAAACTTTGTGATTCTTCCATTTAATCCTGTTCTAATTATTAAGGCGCCTAAACTAAGTCCTTATGGCAGCACTTGTAGTAATCCTTATAGACATTTTTAAAAGGAACCCTTTGATGGGTTTCTGCCAAGGCCTGCCGCCTTCGCCCTGGATACGTCCGTCTGAGCCAGGGCTTCTTCTACGTACCAGGAGCCTTTGGGGTACTTAGGAATATTTTTACTTTTTGGTTATTATAATCCGTAAGAAACAGATAAAATTGTAATTTTTGCTAGGGTTCTAAGTTCAGTATAGGAGCGAGCGACCCCTGAAAAACATGTGGGCTGTGGTGTTGAGTGTAGGGTACGTGACAGGGAATCCTCATCTAAAGCAGCCGCCACCTGCTTATGTAAAGCTTCAGGCAGTTGAGTAGGTAGTTTCTTCAGAGGAGATCTGAAGTATATACGTGCAACTGGGAATGTCGCAGGGTCCCCATCAGAGGGATCTTATCAGAGAGCACCAAACCTTACAATCTCAAAAGCCTTTTTGTTAGGGGGATCCCAATCGAACGATACCCTAAACCCTGCCCAACTGCCCGCATCTCTAAGCTGGGTCAGGATGTGTCCAAATCTCCCGGCGAAACGGGTCCCCTTTCAGGAACCCTTAAAGGAACTACAGGGGTCCTATAACAGGATTCCCACATTTGAGGGTACTTCAGGGTTCTATGATAGTGTCTCGTAGCCCTAAACCCAAGGACCAAGGACCAAATTGAGAGAAACTGCCCAAAACCGTAAACCCTAAACTTCGAAGTAAGCATTCGAAGTTAGGAGGTTTCTGGCTTTTCTGAGCCGGGAGGAGCTCCAGACTCCTTGGTGTCTATCGATCCGCCTGCAACGGCTGGCACTGAGGACCCGAATGGTTGGTTTTTTAGGGTTTAGGGTACCGGGGATGGGGTTTAGGGTTTAAGGTACAGGGTATGGGTTTTAGGGTTTGGGGTTTGGTGTTTAGAGGGTCTGGTGCACAGGGTATGGGGTTCAAGGTTGAGGGCTGGTTCTTAGCAGACTGTGGGCATGGATCAGAAGATGACGACCTCGGAATGCCAAGCCGCAACCACGGGCCCGCACCCCGCACCTCCATGACCCAAACTCCAAAGCCAAAAGGATAAGAATCATGAGAGAACATATCGTGACATATCGAGACTGGTGCAGGGTTCCATTTGTTCGTTGATTTTGAAGTGACAGCAGAAGGACCACGAGCGGTTTTGGAACGCTATGGGTGGATACTGGATCGACCGGGACGGCTACGAGAAGGGCAGCCAGAAAGGAGGAAAGAGCAAGGGCAAAGGCAAGAGCTGGAGGCATCTTCGATGAGGGGTTTGACACGCTGTGCGGATGTCAACTTACTCATACTGGCAGTCACCCTCAGTGTCGGGCTCACTCCAGCCCTCTGAGATATGCTACGACAGTCAGCTTGTCAGTGGTAGCGTCTTGTGCCAACTCGAGTCGACTGAGTCTTGATTTGCTCATCTTGAAGATCCTTGATCCTCGTGCTTAAAGGATCATGGGACTTTGTAACTAGGGTTATTATTGCGGTAACTATACTTATAATTACTTATAACCCCAATTAAGGGACTCATAACTATAGTTACTAAGTCCCATGATCCTGCAAGTGTCCGGACTCTTCAAGCTGATCTTTGATAGCCCTCGAGACAGAGATCCCAAGTACCCAAACGACAGGAGTCGTAAATTCTGCTCCAGCGCTTCGGAAGGTCCTAAGGTAAAAGCCAGAAAGTTGGAATATGATTATCCTAAGCCCTTTATGGTAAATTATAAGGTATCCTACTACCCTGAAGCCATATTCCAACTTTCTGGAGTTCCCTGTAAGATCCTGAATTTTGGGACTCAGAAACAGCCCCAAACCCTGAACTTTCCAAGAACAGTTTGTTGGGAGACCTGGGATGCGGTCCGGCAGGCAGCGATGAGACCTGAGCTCGGGGCTGCCCCAGCATCCATCGTGGCCCCAACTGTATAGATCACCTTGGAGTAGTCCTGGATTCGGGGTTTCCTGTTGACGCCAGTTATTCTGTGTAATTCTTGCAGCGAAAAAGGTAGGTTCTTCAACAGGAACCCTCATATCGAGGAGCTCTCACGTGTAAAGTCTGCTGCACCTGTACAGCTGGGCTGGGTTTGCCTTTTCGAGGCATCTCGCTCGTTCTTCGCGCAGCCATGAAAGTAGAGCCTTCGCTCACAAGATCTCGCAGTCATGTGCTGTATTTCCCACCACTGCGAAGGCCCGCTAGCGACTTCGCAAGTGGCTCTGCTTCGTGTCGCAACTCAATGCTGCGACTCCATTCATCGATACTTACGAAGTCCATTCATCTACGAGACTTCACAGCCCACAAGCCAGGCGACAGAAGCTGGCTGTCTTGTAGCAGTCCGAAGCAAAGGCTGACATAGGCTGACGGGGCGTTTATGGCAGGCGGGGTCAGATCAGTGTTGAGAGTCAGGCAGGATTTGCCAAACTCGGATACACAGCATGGAGTTTAGGGGTTCAGGGCTTTTTGTTTGGTGCTTTCGAGGTTTTAGAGTTTAGGGGCTTGGAGGGGCAGGGCTCCGATGTCTCTGCAGCCAAACAAACATTGGTAGGCCAAAACTATGCCACCGAAAGCCTCAGCCCTCAACCCGACCTGCCCAAAAACCTAAGCCTCAACCCTTAGCTCCTCAACAAAAATCCCGACCCCGAAAGCCTAAACAGGCCTTTGCGAGCCACAACCCCAGGCTCTGGGCCCCAACACCCTGGGGCAATCCCCAAGCCAAACCCAGAACATGTGGTTCAGGGTCTAGGGTTTGGGGTGATCCCAAACTTTGCCCCAACAGCCCCAACAGCTAGCAAGGGCCCCTCGGCGAATCCTGCACCCCCAAACCCCCTAACTTCGCCTGGATGACAGCATGAGCATGCTCCATGCAACCCGCAGAGCAAAGATCCTTACAGGCCAGGATGAGAAACCTTTGTCGGGTAACATTTTACATCTTCATGGGTACTTAAACCCGGAAAGGAACAGAAATTGTAACGTTAGTATCATCCCAACCATGAACAAGCAAAAGTGGTCCAGCCGTTAAACCTCAGCTTCAGACCTGAACGGTCCGTGGCAGTTCGCACGCAACCGCTGCTCTTCGAGCATGCACATGGTTCTGACTCGTGGGGTCACATCACAACACGAACATGTTTGAATTCGATGCCCCTTGCTATGTGCGCCTCGTCAAGGAGGTTTGTGCACCACCGAGTTCGGAGTGCGCAATGATGCGGAATGGTAAGTTCTCGAAAGCTGCAACATTCGTCTTCAACGGTCGCAGCTGCCCCGGTGAAACCAAAAAAACGTAGAAACCCTAAACCCAGAGCCTTAAACGATAAAAATATCCTAACCCCCACAAACCCTGAACAGTCTTAAACCCTGGACCCGACCTGGCGATGTCCGCGGCGCGTCCGCGTGTCCTCAACGCCGAGGCCGATGCCTCGGCTGCCGTAAGATAGGGTTTAGGGTTTAGGGTTCAGGGTTATACTATTCTGGGGGGGTTCCTCATTTTAGTTATGATATTAAGGGTTATACTATTGTGGCAGTTACTCATTCTTACTCATTCTATAGCTATGACACTAAGGGTTATACTATTGTGGGGGTTCCTCACTCTAACTATGATATTAAGAGTTTCGGGTTAAGGCTTTAGGGTGATAGGTTTTTAGTCTTTAGGGTTCAGGGTGTCAGGGTTTGTGGCTTTGAGGCCTCTCGAAGGGACCCTTGGGGCCTACTTGGAGGATCAAGGGACTTAGTAACTATGGTTAGAAGTCCCTTAATTGGGGTTAGAAGTAATTATAAGTATAGTTAACCCAGTAATAAGCCTAGTTGCTAAGTCCCATGATCCTTTAAGTATGTCAGGCTGCAGCCCATGGTACCATGGTAGTCTGCGAGTTCCAGATGGGTAGTTGTCAAAATAAGGGTCCGTATTTGGGGTAGCCTAAATCTTAGGTGCCGTATGATGTTAAGGACCCAAAAAGGGACCATAACTTTGACAACCACTCAGATATCACACCTTGGCAGAAGAGCTGTAGGTAGGAAGTGAACGTTCAACTTTAAGCTTCGATCAGGCCACTTCCTCTGTTGTCAAGTCGCTGGTAGCTTGAACTTCAAGCTGCATCGAAAGACAAGCCTCCACCTGAGGGATTTCTCGCGGTTTCCCTCGTAATAGTCGTTCTGGAGTGTTTGGCGCGGTTATGTGCTTTCTTGGCCTAGCCTAGGGTCGACTCTCCGGTGAGTTTTGGCTCAGAGTGCGCATTGGAATCCAGCTCTCCGCGATGAAACGCTTCATTGTCCTCACGGTCTCCTGGTGGGTTTTGATCGTTTCCTATGTTTCTGCTCCTTGCAGGCTCGTGGGCGAGATTGATTACTACACCATGGCACTGTTTGCGTGCCAACGGCTTGAAGGCCTTCCAGTTGAGCTTCCCACTTTGAGCCTGGTCTTGTGCCTTGTGCTTTGCATAGTCTTGCTTCCCAACTCAATGTTGCAAGTGTCGGCTTTCCGCTGGAATGCCTTGCTGCACAGCATCGGCGTCGCCACACTGGCCATCTGTCTCCTTAAGCCTCTGCTATCAAGCAGCGCAACATTCAACACGACGTTTATCGAATCCATGGAGTTCATTGGAATTGTCACAGGGAGGGCAGCAGCCGTCTATTTGGCCGTCATGCTGCTTGTGATCTCCAGGCGCTCGGTGTTGTCAGAGTGGCACGGCCTGGATTACACAGAGACGATTGCATTCCATAGGCTGGCTGGATGGTGGGTTCTTGTCATGAGTCTTCTACATTCCCTTGCTTTCGCGGCCTACTACTTGCAGAGGGGTGGATGGCATGAACTTTTAGAGGCAACCGTTCCGGTAGCACTCTCTTGCAAGAATCCAGAGGATCCACTGTGTTGGAACACACTTGGCCTGGTGAACGGTTTTGGTGTAGTTGCAACTTTTGCGGTGAGCATTTTGGCGATCCTCTCGCGAGAGCAAGTGCGGCGCAGTGCCTACAACCTTTTCTACTTTACGCACGTGGCACTCTCATTTCTGTTCATCCTTTTCTGTGGGCTCCATGATTTTCCCATGGTGATTCTCATGTTTCCTGGCCTGGCATTCTACATGAAAGACCGGATAGTGGCTTTCTTCACCCGCCAGGAACTTTCCGAGGTGACGGCAGAAGTTCTGTGCCGAACTGGCGCTTCAAACGTCATCCTTTTGACATGGAACACGGCGCCGGAGCTGAAGTTTATGCCCGGCACACGTTGGGTCTATCTTCACGAGAGGGGTGTCTCTAGACTGCAGTGGCACCCATACTCGGTGGTCCAAAACGGGCATCGGGCGCAGGTGCTCGTGAAGGGTGCGGGTGACTGGTCCGAGTCCCTCTGCAAACAGGTGTCCCAGGAGGCTTTGAAGCTTCGCATCGAGGGCCCCTACGGCAAGCCCATCGCCGAAACGCCCCGCACTTCGCCGCCACGCAACCTCCTGCTCGTTGCAGGCGGGGGGCCTTTTTGCTTTGCGTTTAGACCGACCAGGGCGGGCTGACACACTGCGTTAGGGTCCCAAGTTTTAACCTCACACAGAAGTCCCAGCCCTTAGCTCCGAGATTACCTTGAGAAGGCGGTGTGGGCATCTCTCCCTTCATCGACCTCCTTTGTGGGCTCCGGCTCGAGGATGCCGGATGGCAGAGAGTCCACCTGGTTTGGGCCGTCCGCGGCGATGAGTTCGGCGGGATTTCTGGGGCGATCGACTGGCGGCGACTCTGCGAGAGGGCGGAGATCTCCGTCTTTGTCACCTCCGGTGAGGCGGAGTCCCCCAGCGGAATGGTTGACCACAGGATGGGCTCCTCCGATGTTCTAGGGTCGGCAAGTGCAAGCGAGATGTGCAGGCACAGGGTGTTGATTCTGTCTTTTGTATTTATTACGCTGGGTGCCCTAGCCGCGGACTTTCTGGTGCACAACTGGAGCATCTGGGTCCGGCACACGGTGCACAGTCTTCTTGCCTGGGCGTCCCTCGCCCGCTGTGTGCCTCTGCTCTTGGTCTTCTTGGTCCTTCTGGCAGTCACGCTCCTGAACTTCGCGCTCCAGCGCCTCCCAAAAGGCTGCGGCCGATCACTTTGGGGCCGCCTGGAAGCGGAGGACTCCAGCGCCAGGTGCACTGGCGCCGGAGCCGAGGGTCCAGAGCCGAAGCTTTGCATCCAACACGCGAAGCCGGACTTGCAGCAGCTCCTGGAGCAGCAAGCGGAGCTTGGGCCAGTGGAGGTGGGGAAGCTTCCGCGGAGTTCGGGTGCAGGGTCCTGGTACGGGGGCTGTGTCGGGACCCCTCTCTGTGCTCGAACCATAAGGCTGTAAGGGTTTTTAAGCTACAGACGGCCTAGACCCACGTAAGCCGCAAGCTGGCAGGTGAAGGTATGCGGACCCCAGCGGATGCTGGCATCGATCAATGCCACGGTGCTTCAGCTCAAGAACCGAGGCCTCACTGTGGAGCTCGACAGTTTGGAGTCGAACCTATGAGTTTTAATCCGGACGCTTGAGGATTCGTCCTGCGCGGCCTCCTGCTAGTTGGGGTGACCGGGCGACAGCACTGTCTGGCGAGTCGCAGGTATGTTCCACGTCTTTTCAGTGTTGGGGGTGATCACGGTGCTTTCTCAGCCTTAGACTCTTAGACCCTGGATGTGACACCATGCGCTCAAGGATTTGCGCCCAAATCCGTCAGCATGTTGTGCGAGGGACGACTCCTCATCCCGATCCCCATTTCCGAATTACGATTTAACCAGAAATATCCGGTGCAGAGTATAGTGTACAGCTGTGCTGGCATTTCGTGGAGATGAAGTGTGCGCTTCAACTTCGGTTGGTGAATTGTCATGACTTGTCAACCGACTGAGGGGTGGCGATGATGCCCTTTATACATGTCCTGAGCGGTGTGCACGAGATTTGTAACAAGATTGTCCTGAAGACGGTCTTCACCTACAAGCCTTAGAAACGACGCCAAACCGGAAAGAAGAGACACTTAAAACTCAGGACAAGCTTACAAGAGTGACTAGGGATTTTGTAGCTCTCTAGGCCACCTCGAATCCTGAAACCTCCATGAGCCCGCAGCTCATGGAGTTGTTCGAGGCACACGGAGGGTAGGGTGCAACAATGCCAGCTGGCATAGGCTGATTATGAGAAAAAAGCATTAAAGCCATGCGTGACTTCTCCGCAGTGAAGACGCTTTCCCTTTTCTGAAGGCTCTGGCGGGGGATGTTTTTTCGGGGCTGAACTCGTCTTTCCTAGTCGAAGTCTCAGCAGTGCCACAACTTCTACAGGGCGTAGAGCTTCAAATTTTGTAGATTTGTCAACTAGCTGTTCTGTCATCCTTCGGTTGCAGGACCTTGCCAGAGAGCCCTTATAGTTTATGGTTTAGGTTTAGGGTTTAGGGTTTAGGGACGATGCATCTGCCTCTCACGCTGCATCCCGACTCATCTCGAGACCTGGTCGCAGGGGACGAAGCCGCGGCCGGCCATTCTGGAAATGGCCGCCGGTTGCAGCGGTTTGCTGCAGGGTTTCACCTGACACCGTCCCTCTTCTTTGGAGGAGCCTCCGGCCAATTCTTGTGCACGGACACCAGAAACACATGAGTTTTTGCCAGAAGTTGGATTCTTGTTTCTGTGCGACGGGTTGACTGGTTGGCGTGCCTTCAAAATGCATTTCCGCAGTGACTTCTCCATAGGACGCGGCGGCATCAATGCAATCCGCGATAGTTCTTTTCAGTGAGAAAAGTCTTGATGTTTGCAGCGGCCTGCTCCAATTCAAAAAATCATGTACTCACGGAGCTCCCGCTCCCAGACACAATCGTTCGACGTGGTAAGGCCCAGTGCTCCAGATTTAACACCACTTATAGTAGCCCTTTAAAGGAATAATAGCAACCCTTTAAAGGTATATGAAGCAGCCAAAGCACGACTCCGACGAGACGACAACCACTCTGAAGCCATGGCAGCAGCTGTGGCTGAAGCGGGCGGTGTGTGGCTCACCTTAACACCTATCAAGGAGCTAAGGCTTGCGAACTTGTAAACTTCAGCTCCAACTGCTTGAAATTACAGTGCCGGCGGTCTGCAATAATCACTGTACCACCTGAATCTTAAATCCGACACCGTAAAAAATCGGAATTGCGCCACGCTACCCTAAGCCTTAAATCCTGAACCCGAATCCTAAGCCCTCATTCCATCCCTAAACCCGAAACCTTCAACTCTTCAATGTTCCGAGGCCAGAGAGCATGTGCTATGGCACAGAGGAAGCCAAGAAGGAGCCTGTGCTAGGCGGGTGCAGAAGAGATTTGCGGGGTTTCTGAGGCTTTAGAGTTGCTCCTTGCTTTTGCGAAACCCTAAACCCTAAACCCGGAAAACCTTGCATCAAGGATTAGGATCCTCTCCAGGCCTTTGCATCGCTGAGTTTCAGTATGTGCCTACTAGCGTTATAAGTTCTGGCGCACTTTTCTTCTTTTGGTACTGGTGGTAGCAGCGGCAGTAGCAGTAGTAGTAGCAGTAGCAGTAGCAGCAGCAGCAGCAGCAGCAGCAGCAGCAGCAGCAGCAGCAGTTAGCAGTAGAAGTAGCAGTACCAGCAGGAGTGGGAGTAGGGGTGTGAGGAGTAGTAGGAGTAGCAGGTGTAGTAGGGCAAGTAGGAGTAGTAGGAGGTTGTCGTACCGTAGCAGCGGCGGCAGGAGCAGGAGCACGAGCAGAAGCACGAAGCAGCAGCAGCAGCAGCAACAGCAGCACGACGGGAACGGCCACGGGCACGGCCACTGCCACTGCCACTGCTGCTAGTACTACTGCTACTACGACGACGACGACGATTACGACAAAATTGTTAATACTAATGCTACCGGCACTACTAGCAAGGCATGAAAGCATACGAAATCTTTGTATTGCTTATGTCAGATGCCAAACCTGAGAAGGCTGGTATGGATCCCACGACCAGCTGGAAAAGGAGCCCTAGTAGCATGATTTTGGGAGCCTTTTTGAAAGGCTTTGCAAAAGGTCTTGCAATGACGTCAAGTTGGGTGCTTCTCGTTTTGCTGAGTTCATTCGTGACACAGGTGCTTGGAGGATCATGGGACCGAGTAAGAAAGGTTACATCTTCCCATAAGCCTTTATGTATGCTTTCGTCCCGAGGCATGATTTCGTTGTGCGGCTTTTCAAACTCAAGCCTGTGACTGTGCCTAGGACACCCGTGAGCTCCGTTCAGACGGCGGGGCAGAAACCGCCGAGCCTGCTGTTTCGGAGGAGGAGGACAAGAAGGCCCGGCAGTCTTGCCGCAAGTGACATTTGTGCAAGGAGTTTCGCCAATGGGAGATGGACGCTTGGCGGTGCATGTACGCTTCGATCAAATCCATTTTGCATGCCCACTTCTAGCGCGTCAACCTATTCGGATCCCTGGCAATGCTGGAAGTTGGAGGAAATCTGGTGGAAGCTTCGAATCTTAATCTCGATACTGACATCGATCTCAGCTGGTTGCAGAGCTTGCTTTTGACATTGTTAGCCGTTGGTTGGGGCTGTTGACTGAAGCTCGAGCCTAGGTCCTTGACCCAACTCGAATGTGTTCAGGATCAGTATGTTCTGTTTGGACAGGTGCCTCTGCACATAGTCGTTCACCGTGCAATGTAATCTAAGCCCGCGCGCCCTAATCCTCAAACCCTCCTAAACCCTAAACCCTGTACCCGAAAACCCAAACCCTACACCCTGTACGCACCTAAATCCAGCCTATACCCTAAAGACTATATATCCCAAACCTTAGAAGCCCCTGCTCGTTTAGCTTAGCTTACCACAATAAGGAACACATATATTATCTACTCCCGATCCCGGATCCCTCTTGCGGTTTCCTTAAAAGAACCCAGTTCCCTAAACCCTAAACCCCTAAACCCTAAACCCTAAACCCTAAACCCTAAACCCCTAAACCCTAAACCCTACACCCTGAACCCTGAACCGCCGGAAGGACGAGAGCCCTGAAGCCTTGGCAGCGCGGCAGCGGAAGCAGCGGATCCTCACGGCTTTGCCCGAAGCCCAGGGTTTGAAGGCTAGGGCTTAGGGCTTAGGAGGGGGTTTGGGGGTTTAAGGGGTTGGGGTTTTAGGGGCTTAGGGGTTTGGGGGTTTAAGGGGCTTAGGGGGTTGGGGGTTTAGGGGCTTAGGGGGTTGGGGGTTTAGGGCTTAGGGGGTTGGGGGTTTAGGGCTTAGGAGGTTTGGGGGTTTAAGGGCTTAGGGGGTTGGGGGTTTAGGGCTTAGGAGGTTTGGGGGTTTAAGGGCTTAGGGGGTTGGGGGTTTAGGGCTTAGGAGGTTTGGGGGTTTAAGGGTCAGGGGGTTTTGGGTTTTAGGGCTCAGGGTGTTTTGGGGTGCAGGGGTTGCGGGGTTTTAGGGCTCAGGGGGTTTGAACGGCTTGCCCTGAAACTCGAGCCTCCGGTGCTAGGGCACCATCAGGGTACTATACGAGTAGATAAAGGATACAAGAAGGGTACAATGAGGGTACTACGAGGATGACAAGGGGCCAAGGGTTGGGGTTGAGATGCAAGGGTGCTGCGAATTGTCGTATGAGCCGGCCGCACCCCGAAAGCACACCTGCCGAACGCCTGCATCCACGGAGTTGGTTCTCATTTGCCCCGAGCCCGACACGAGCTCTGATCCTGCTCTCAGTCGTGCGAAGGAAGAAGCCGACTACGGATCAGCTCCGACGCCGCTTCACGGAGCCGGAGGGCTCGGAGTCGGCGAGTCGGATTTGGAGTTCAGGGTTGAACACTGTGGGCTTGGGGCAGCTGTGTGGGCATCTGCAGACTTGGTTTGGGTTTGGGGGTGGCTTTGTTCTGCGGTCGGGTTTAGACTGGCTTCACGCGCCATGGGTCCGCAGTTGCCCCCTTCAGAATGGCGGGTCCGACGCTGTGATGGTTTTCGGGTGCAGCCTCTCAGAAGGAGAGAGCAAGGGTACATAGGCCAGGGCCGTCGCCGGAGAGGAGGCTCGGAACAGACTGAAGCAGCCAATAACGGCTACTATCCGGACTACTATAATGCCGTAAGGGTGGCTAAAAGGGTTCTTAAAGGAATACTATCAGGGTTGCTACAACGGCATCTACTAGTATAAGAGTTTGTTACAGTGAGTGCGTAATCCTATGCCCTCTTTCCTCAAGTCAAACGGTGAACTTCTAGGAGAAGCCTCTACGTGGCCCTGCCCCTCTCATAATCACTACATCATCCGCAGTCCCATTGAAGCCAGCGACCCTAAAACCTAAGTACTAAGCCCTTCTGCAACTCCAGCCTGTAATTTAAACCAAATAAATGCACAAAACCTTAACCCCTAAGCCCGAAAGCTTGCTATGATTCATGGTTTTTGATTGTAGTAGGTAGAAAAGAGCCTCAACACAACCGAGTCTCAACCTCGAAACCCCTGAGCCAGGTTTGACCTCAGTTCTGAACCCTAAACCCTAAACCCCTGAACCCGAAACCCTAAACCCTAAGCCCCTGAACCCGAAACCCTAAACCCGAAATCCTAAACCTTAAACCCGAAACCCTATAACCCCTAAACCATAAACCGCTAAACCCGAAACCCTATCAATCCTAAACCCTAAACCCTTAACCCCCAAACCCGAAACCCTATAAACTCTATACCCTAAACCCTAAACCCCTAAACCCGAAACCCTCTAAACCCTATACCCTAAACCCCTAAACCCCTGAACCCCTCAACCCCTGAACCAGGTTTGACCTCAACTCTGATGGCACCTTGGACAAGTCCGAGGTTCGTCGCCTGGTGCGGCAAGGGAGGCAGAGGGCTCCTCTGGAGCCAAGGGCCCCAAAAGCTGAGCTCGTTTCGGGGTTACTATAAGGGTTCCTTTCAGGGTTCCTTTAAGGGTTCCTTTAAGGGTTGCTATAAGGGTTACTGTAAGGGTTTCAGGGTTTCGGGCTCGGTTTTCGGGTTTAGGGTATTAGGGTATTATGGTTTAGGGAGGTTTAGGGTATTGGGGTTTCGGGTTGAGGGTTCGGTAGTAAGGGTGGTTTTAAGGGTTTAGGCTTTAGGGTTCAGTGGCAAGGCTGGTCTTTGAGGGTTAGTAAGGGGATATCAAGGGTTGAGGGTTGAGGGTTTAAGGGGGGTTTAGGGCTTAGAGTTGAAACTGCAGGCCTAGAATCAACAAGCATCTGAAAGCTTCAACTCTGCGTCCAGCTGTGCGTCTTGTTGCCTGGCCATTCTCTCTGCTGGGTTCTCTGGTGACTAAAGCTTCTAGGTTCAAAGCAATCCAGCAACCTCCGTCTTTGTAAAACTCTTACCCTAAGTGCGCTGGCTCTGAAAGGACCTCATTCTACGACTGCAACAGCCGAAATTCCTAATCCGTACGATACTTTCATAGTCCCTTGAAGATTACGCGCCCCTACTGTCATCAAGGCCCGTAGAGGGTTTGTAGGCCCTTGGGCGGCCTGTGGCATGTGGCAGACTGTCGACGAGCGTTTCTGATAAATTCATGCAGGGCTGCTTATGGGGTTTCTAGCACGGTTTCTTTCTGGAAATACGGTCGCTGTCAGGTTTACGATATGGGTTTATGGAAGGGTAACTATGGGTTTTCCAGAGGGCCGACCTAACGAGACAGAAACTTTAAACAGCGCCTTTTGAATTCTAAGCCTAAAGAGCAAACCACCCTAAGACCCTATGAGAACCGAGCAATGAGTGGACCTGAACGCAGAGACCCTTGCCAGCTTTCAGCCTATACTCAGCTGTAAATGCCTGAAGGTTAGGCCAGTAAATCCTTACATCTTTCAGGCCCGTAACCTCGTTTTCAACACCGAATTAAGTCAGGATTTGCCCGGACAAGTCTCAGAAGGACCAAAACCTTAAGTGCACTGTTCGTCCGAGCCGCCCAATGTAGACCTTGATTCGCAAGATCGTCATTATAAGTTCTGCCCTCAAAACCCCAGATCCTAACCCTAAAGCCTACAAACCCTAAGCCCTAGAAGCCCATCCTTCTCGCAAGCCCTCCGCAGGCCGAAGACCAGCGAGGGCGAGGTGGAGGAGATCTTCAAGCAGCTGGACAAGAACGGCCCGGAGCCCTGGTTTCCGGGCTCTATAGGACTTTTCGGGCGTCGGGGCGGGTGGACCAGGTCTTGGAGATTCGACCGGGAAGTCGGACATGCACTTGGTAATAGTCAGCATGCTCTGCCCAGTGAGGAGGATAGTAACCTTCTAGTCATAGAGAGGCCGGAACAATTATGACTCTGGTTCCTTGGGTTTCCTTGTGATAGTCATATTGTGTTACGCACCAAAACCCTATTCTGATCGTTTTTGGCCTTATAGTAACCTCATTTGATCAAATTTCGAGGAACCCAAGATTTGCTTAGATATCGCAAGTCATGGCGAGCAACCGATGTGGCTTAGGGTATCAGGGTCCCGAAGCCTAAGCCTTAAATGCCAACACGCCGAAAACCCCAAGCCCTAAACCTTCGACCCAGAACTGGAAGCCCTGAATCCCAAACCCAAAGCTCTTCAGAGGTTCCTTTCAGGGTTCCTCTAGCATGTATAGACCCCCAGCTAAACCCTAAACCCTACACCCTCAACTAATGAACTCCATAGTACCCGTAAAGGACTCTTGAAAATCCCTTAAAGGAACCCCTCTAGAGACCCTTAAAGGACCCTATACTGTAGTACCCTTTAAGAGACCCTAAACCCTATAGCCTCAAGCCTAAAGCCTAAACCCTAAACCGTGAACCCTAAAGCCTAAACCCTAAAGCCTAAACCCTAAACCCTCAACCCTCTCTTCGTCCACGGAAGGCGATGGCCGGGTCAGCTTCAACGAGCTGGTGGCCTGGGTCTTCTCGGCCGAGGCACCCGGAACCTTCCTAGGAGCCCTTTTGGGGGCCCTTTTTGGGGCCTTTTTGGGGTTTTGGGTTTAGGGTTCCCGAAACTCTCGGAGCCGTTTTGGGGCCTTTTTTTGGGGGGTTTTGGGTTTGGGGTTGGGGTTTAGGGTTTAGGGTTCGGGGTTTAGAGTTGAGGGAGCCTCATAGCAACCATTCTAGTTGCCCAGAAAAAAATCCTTCGAGTAGCCCTCAGTCAGAGGAACCCTTACCGGAGGAACCCTACACTACTCGGCAGGGGCCGGACGCGGAAGAGAGTGAGCGGCTCTTCAGCGACCGGCAGAAGAGCCGCCGCGGGAGCGCGCCCTGAGCCAGGCAAAAGCTGCACACGACGGGTTGCAGAGCTTTTGGGGTTGAAGAGGCCTTTTAGAGGTTGTAGGTATGGATAGGGTTTAGGGTAGAGGGGTCTGGAGATTTGCGTTTCCAGGTTTCAGATGCATAGTCGAAACAGCTTTAAAAGTCGCCGACGGCAGTTTCGGGACGTAGGCTCTTACTTGGAAGCCAAAATAAATGAAGAAAGAAAAAGAGAGAGAGAGAGAGAGAGAGAGACAGATATATATATATATATATATATGTATATATATATATATATATATATATTTTTTTTTATACGCACCAAGATTATTCCTTAGGGTTCCTTGTTGGAATGATTAAGGCCCCCATTAATTTTAATTACCGACCCGTCTTCGGCACGAGCTAGTGGCTCGGTGTTGCGAAGGGTTCCGGTGCTCGGAATGTGCAGCAGCGTAGCTGGTCCGGGCTGAGAGAGCAGAAGATTCTGCTTCCAGACGTTAACGAGCTACAGGGCTGCCTTTTCCATAGGAAGAATTCCCTAAGCCCTGAGCCCTGAACTAAAATTCTAAACCCTACACTCTAAACCCTAAACCCTAACCCCTACACCCCTACACCCTAAACCCTAAACCCTAATTCGCGAGACGACGTTCCCCGATGTCCTCACGAGAGGTGTGGGGAGGACCCCTGTGCGAAGACTCGGAGTCGAGGAGTTGCACACAACTGGGCTCTTGTAAGGGAAGTATCCCTGGAAGGGTCCCTTTAAGGGGGGATCTATAAGGGTTCCTTTATTAAGTGTTTACGGATGTAACTTAAGTTGCCATAAGAGGGATTGATAGGAAATGATACAGTTTCCTGATTATGGTAATTTAAGTTAAGTGCCTTAATAACAAGACCGCAGACAAGAGTTATGCTACGGGTTACTGTAAGGATTGCTAAAGGGTTATAGAAAATTATCCTATTAGCTGAGGAGGTAACCTTGAACCATTTTGGGGTTTATACAATCCTGCCAGAATTGAAACGGTTGACCTTTTTGCGGCCAGGGTATTCAGTCCGCAAGCACCAGGGTTACTATCAAGGTTGCTACAGGCTACTGTAAGGGTACACGGTTGACAACAGAGCTACTGAAACGGTTACTGTAAGGATTGCTGTGAGGGTTGCCGTTAGGGTTACCCTACGGTCATATCAAAGACCTCCTCTGTAGGGTTACTCCAGCCATATTTCGGGAGGTCCCTCCGAGACCGCATGTGGGTGAGTCACCGCGCAAATGAATTCGGACTCCCAGCCCTCATGGCCCGTCGAGTGGACGCACCATCCTAAGCCCTAAGCCTAAACCCCTGACTCGGTGCCCTGCGGCCGGGAGACCCGCTCGTTTGGCATTGAACCTTTAAGAGGTCCGGCGGCCAAAAGATTCCAAGGATGGGGCGGCATCGCAGAACTATGCTTGCCCACCAGGGTCCGTACGCGTTTCGGCTTCTTTCACGTCTGTTGTGGCGTCTTTCTGAAGTTCTCATGCGAGGTCAGGGAGCCGAGATTTACAGAACTCCGGTCCCTGCGTAAGCTGTGGATCCCTGATCATGTTTTGCACGACGGACTGTCACAAACCCTGCCTTCCCCCGAAAGTTCCAAAGTTGTGAACTGCAGAATGTAGGCTGCAACGCATATCAATGTCCCTTGAACCCTCAACGCTGAACCGGACCTGCCTGAACTTAGATCTCTACTTCGGTCCGTGAGAGGTGTGATTCTGCGGTTCAGAGGGGGATGAAGTCTGGCGGGTTCCGAATCGGATTCCCACTTGCTTCTAGCCGCATGTCCAGTATCTTCGTGACTTAAAGAGACCGTGCAGACGTTGTCTAGCCAAGTGCTGCCATTTACGACATGGCGGCTGATGCCGCGCCTTTCAGCAAGGAGACACCGCGAATCGTGACTCGGCCGACAAACTCATGTACTTTGTGCCCTGATTTCTCCAGCGCGGAAGCTTTGGAGATTTTGGAGCAAGCGCAGCTGTCTGCTTGACATGCAAGATTTCTCGGTCTACTCTACCTAGCCAGCACCACAGTGGCATCCTCGTGTCTAGCAGAGGCGACTATGGGAATCGTCTAGCTCCTCCTTGGCTGTACTGGTAGTGTCTTGAATCCTCATCCAACATCTTCTAAGTCTGCGAAGCCTTCCTTCATCACATGCTTGTTTGGCCGAACACCCTGTTGCTCAAGTCTTCTCCCTAAAGCTCGTAACTCGTGTCCGAAGTGCAAGTCTTCTCCCTAAAGCTCGTAACTCGTGTCCGAAGTACAAGCTGAAGAGATCTGCCTTCACTGGTTTGACTTCGGATTCTGTTCTAGTCCTCTAGTTGCTTGCGCGGTACATGCCTGCCAAAACCCTCCACCCTAAACCCCACCCCGGTTGCTGCTCTCTCTGCCAGAGCCTGAACCGAGGCACTCTTGGGCCAGAAAGATGCCCTTAACTTCGCGCTCTACCAGCTCGTGCAGGCGAGCCGTCCAAGTGAGGGACCGCCTGGTTTTGGGTGAAGGGAAAGCTATCGGGTTTGGGGTTTAGGGATTAGGGGTTCTTATGATGGGGGGTCGGAAGAATTACCAGCCTCTTGCCTTCGATTTCGGGTTCCTTTACCAAAAAAGCGTAGACATTTTATCACACTCCAAAACCAAAATAGAGCCTTCCCGGCCCCTATGTTACAGAATCTCGCAGAGATACGACTCTGAAGCCCCTTAGTCCGAGAGCTTCTGATAGAAGCGGCTTTGGGACTTTTTTCTGCAGCTCTCCATGTGCTCTTCTGGCTGCTCCGCTCTTGAACTCCATGGCTGTTTTATGGAATAGTTGTCAAAATTATGGCCCCTTTTTGGGTCCCTATTATAATACGGCACCTAGTATTTAGGGTACCCAAAAAGGGACCCTAATTTTGACAACTACCCATATAGACCCTGTAGGACTGAAGTAATCCCCTCAGAGGCCTTGAACCCTAACCCCAAAGTGCTCATGCACGCAGCAAGAAGCTTTTTTTTTTGGGGGGGGTGTGGTAGTAACTTGCCCTAGGCTTCCAGGGGTATTCTTATTGGGGTCTAGGGCCCTAGCTGTAGGGTCCTTGGAAGCCTAGGGTTAGTGACTTGACTCAGTGGGTCCCTGATAGCTCGGAGAGGGTCGCCGGGGCGAGGCATCCTTGAGTTGTCTGCTCGGTCAGGATCCGAAGATGCAGTCATTATGTCAACTCCCCTTAAAGGGTACTAGATGGTTCCATACAGGGTTCTCTTTAAGGGTTCCTCTAAAGATTTTGAAGGTTCGCCCCTCTTGCGAGGAGATCTGTGTAATTGCGCATGTTTTATTCAGACCGTCCAGAGGCCAAAAGCTTCGCCGGGAGTTGAGAAGCCGGAACCTTAAACCCCAAACTCTAAACCCCAAAACCCTGAACCCTAATCCCCGGAAGCGGAACGAAATCCGCAGGCGCGGAGGTCGCAACCCATCGAGGCTGGGTTTCTGGGTTTCTTCGCAGAAAGCAAGCCCCCAAGCCCAATCTCAGCGCGAGGTTTTAGGGGTTGAGATTTGCTTGTCTTCGTGGATTTAGGTTGCGCAGGATGCAAAGCCGAGGATTCGAAGTCGCTTGCAACAGCATATAAAGGACCCTCCCCCATCACCTGGACTTCGGGTTTAGGATTTGAGAATTTGAGAACAATCACAGGTTCGCTCAGGCGCTCACGAAGGTCTCAGGCTGAGCCACGCGCAGTCATCGAAAATGGAGAACGGTGAGCAGAGGTGTTGGTGCTGACGCCGAATGACCAGCCAGCTGTGCCCTGTTGCGCCGACACTGCTGCAGTCTGTGCTTCCCTAGGCAGGACTTTGGACTTCGTCCGCCCTGTGAGTCTACTGTAACTTTATGGCGTTCTTCATTTCTTGAGCTTATGATCGATTATTGCAGGTCCATGGAATGTCCTTTGCTGGAGCATCGCGTGCCAGATCGTCGATTCGTTCAGCTAGGCTGCTCCAGAAAGTGTCAGGCTACGAGCACCGTGTGGCCAGCAAGAACTACATGGTGCTCGAGGCAACTCAGGGACAACTGAGCTGCGAGAGACCCACTTAGCTGGAAGCGGGCTGATACAAGCTGGGCTTGGCTTGCGGAAATTGGTTCAGTTGAGCCAGTTCGACCCGGATTGCCCTAAGCCCAGAGCCCAAGCCCTAATATCCCAAAGCCCCAAACCAAGGCAATTCAGAAGTTCAGACCGCATCTGCTGGCTGCACCCTCAGATTGCAGTGAGCGTGGTCAGGCAGAGGCTCGAAGGATCCTCAGTTTGTGCACCGTGGGTGGTTGAGGGATGTTGAGGGTTTTGATGGGGCGACGCCACTCGCTTTGGCTCTCCACTCAAACCAGAATGAACATGGGAAACCACTGCCAAGACCCTCTCTGGCCACGTCACCGGTCTCAACCCACGACCCACGATGCAAGCCCCAGGCCCAGGCCTCATGCCTCGAACCTCAGTCCCAAAGACCGCTTTTTCTTTGCTAGTTTGGGCGTTCCTCATTAAGAAATTACAGTATAATGGCCCCAAAACCCTATTCTAATTACCGTTCTGTTGGAGCCTGCCGAGGGTACGGCAGGCTCGGGGATCTCAGCTCGAAGCGTCCGTCGTGCCATGGCGCTCCGACGACGGACCTGCGTTCCGCCCGCTGCGCAGTGAGGATGGATCTGGAGTTGCTGCGCTCCCGCAGTGGCGGCGACCGGGTACCTGGGTGGCAGTTGCAGGTTGAGCCATGTCCGTGCAGAAGGTGGTACATGGTAGGTGAGATGCAGCGCATTAGCCTGGTAAGTGGGGTCAGAGCCAGCATGAAAGAGTGACATGAAGCATCGGGCGACCGAGCCAGGGACTGGCATCATTCTCCTATACTATACTTGACTAGACCAGACTCTCCAAACCCTAAACCCTGAACCCTAAACCCTAAGCCCTAAACCCTAAAACCCTAAACCCTAAAACCCTAAGGTATAGTAGAAGATGTCTTCTTCTTTCCAGGTCGCCTTCGACCTGCTAAAGCGCTGGATCTCGAATGCCTTTCTTCGCGAGGTGCGTGACACGGCCCCGGTGGCCCGGACTGGGTTTAGGGGTGAGGGGTTTAGGGTTTAAGGGTTCAGGGTTTAAGGTTTTACGGTTTCAGGGTTTAGAGGTTCAGGGTTTAGGGTTTAGGGCCAATTTAGGGTCTGGATTGCATCGAGTTGAGTCTGATCTGTGTTTCTCTCGTCTCGCCCTTGTCTGCAGGGCTCCTCCCTGGAAGCTCGGCTCAGGTGCTTCTCGCGATCGTGCGTTTGTTTTTTGTGTCTTTTTTTAAGTTCGGAGCAAAGGGGGTACGTAATTCCCGGTGCGTGATTTCTCCAGGCACCCTCCACAGCCGCTGGGGAGCCAGCCAAGCTTGTTTCACACACCAAGGCGGGCTGCCCCTGGCAATCGCTGACCCGGGCACTGGAGGCGGTTGAGTGTGTGCGCGTTTGTTGACTTGGCGGCGAGGGAGTTTGAAGTTTCAACATGGTGGAGAGTGTGAAGAATGCCATGCAGCATGGCGATGGTTTGATTCAAGCCTCAACGTGCCCCGAAGCCTTGCCAAAGCTCCCTAGGAGTCGCGGCGGCGACGCTGGCGTGAGGCTCACTCCGAGGGCACAGACCTGGAGCTCGAACCTGGGCCTCTAAAAGGAAGGGATTTTTGGGCAGGGGAGGTCGCTTTCGGAAGCAGGTGAGATCCGCTTTGTAGGGCTCCAGGCTCTTTGCAGCTCGTCCGTGCAGCACTGCTGCGGAAGTCGCCGCTCTTCTTTCGGCTTACAGCCTCAATGTCAGTTATACCGCTGTACTCAAGCACAGACCGTGCAATGCCCAGGATCCCATCACAGAGGCGGACCTCCGAAAATCGCTGGTCCATGCCTACAAGGAGCTGTTGCCCGAGCTCTTCCAGCTCTTCCCGCAGAATCTTCCTTTGGCCCGTATTGTTGTGAATTAATCTGGTTCTTTTGCTGGCACTTCGAGGGATCCTCGTACTTCCGAACAATCACACTCCGGTGCTGTAGACATTGATGACCGGGAAGTGCAGACATCCCAATGCCCCTCATTGCCGATGCTTCATGTGATTCTGCCTTGGTCCCGGGCCCTACCGGATTTAGGTAGCTTTCAGAGTTTGAAGGGTTTCGAGACGGTGGCATGAGCCTGGGCTGTGTGCCCGGGGCCCCTAAACCCTGAAGCCATAAACCCTAAACCCTGAAGCCCTAAACTCTGCAGCCCCAAACCCTGAAGCCCTAAACCCTAAACCCTTATAGAACCCTTGACGGAACCCCCCCTAAAGGAGCCCTTAAAGGAACCTTTGAAGGATCCTTTAAAGGAACCTTTGAAGGAGCCTTTAAAGGAACCCCTTTGAAGGAGCCCCTAAACCTTAAACCCTAAACCCTACTAAACCCTAAACCTTAAACCCTAAACCCTACTAAACCCTAAACCCTACTAAACCCTAAACCCTAAACCCTAAATCCTAAACCCTAAAGGAAGCCCTAAAGTTGGCACCACAGGAGATGCCTGAGTCGGCGCTCCGGGTCGTGGCAGAGGCGAAGCTGAAGGCGATCTCCTCGAGAGGGTTTGGGAAACAGGGTTTAGGGGTTCAGGGTTTAGGGGTTTAGGGGTTCAGGGTTTAGGGGTTTAGGGGTTTAAGGGTTTAGGGGTTTAGGGGTTTAGGGGTTTAGGGGTTTAGGGGTAGGGTTTGGGTGCCAATAACGTTTTGACCGAAAGTTTTGACCGAAAGTTTTGACCGAAAGTTTTGACCGAAACGTTTTGAGCGAAAGTTTTGATTTTACGAACTATATTTCGGGATTTGGCTGGCTGGGCGGGGTTGGGGTCGGGGTTGGGGTTGGGCTGGGGCTGCTGGCTGCTGGCTGCTGGCTGCTGGCTGCTGGCTGCTGGCTGCTGGCTGCTGGCTGCTGGCTGCTGGCTGCTAGCTGCTGGCCACAGGGAAGCAGAGCCAGCGCGCAGGCCTCCCCGATTCTTGATGCAGGCCCATTTAGCCCTTGGCCCCTCCCTCAGAACCAAGAGCCCCCAAAGAGCCACTCAACAGCTTCTTTCAAAGGGACATCTGTGAGCGCGTTTTGCTTAATAAGCTTTACTCCTCCCAGCTTGCCATGGAAACTGCTAGTTCGTGGTCTGAAGGTTGGCCGGAGCCGCGGGGGGACCAGGAATGGCAGTGGGGAGGTGGTCACACGAGTGACCAACGCCAGCGCGAGTGGAACTCTGAGCAATGGTGGGAGGAGTCCAGCGAGTGGGCGAAGGAGTCCGACCAGGACGACACGGAGTGGTACAGCAACAAATCCCACAAGTGGCACAATCCCACCGGGACGACGACGGCGAGTGGCAGTGGGCAGCAACAAGTCCCGCGAATGGCCAAAAGAGTCCTACCAGGACCGGGAGTGGTGGGACAAGGTCCAGGAGGACCGGGGCAGAGGCAGCCACAGTAGCCTGGCAGTTGATGAGGAAGCAGAAGGCGAAGAGGCACAGTGGCAAGCGAGGCCACCGGCCCCTGGATGGCATCAATGCCAGAGACCGCCGAGAGATAAAAAAATGGAGGCAGGACAAAGACGAGAAAGAGCGCCTGGAATACCAGGTGGAGCAGCAAAGGGACCAGATTCAGATCTTGGAGGGCTGCTTGTGGTCTGAGGAAGACATGGTCGAGGGGCTGCGACGCTCGGGGAGAGTACAGAAAGAGATGATGACTCAGATGGCCGACGAGATGAAGGCCATGCAGCAGAAGTTCCAAGAGCTGCACGACGAGAAGGTTTCGTCTATGAGGAGCAGAATGGAGAGTGAAGCAAAATCCGCAAACCTGGCCAAGCAGGTGCACCAGCAGTCCAAGCAGATGCATGCCACAGGCAAGCAGCTTGCTGAGCTGCAAGGCAAGCTTGACAAAGCAGAAGACTGGCACCAACTTCAGCTGGACGGCCGCAGTGCAACAAAAGACATTGAGAGAGTGTCGGGCATGTTGTGCAGTGCTGATCTTGTGCATGGGCTTGGGCAGCGCGGGAGGGATGGTGGGACAGGGCGATGACGGGGCGTGGAAAATTTTTTGGACACCTAATCATGTTTGGTGGATTTGCTTTTTGGACCGCGGTGGTTACAAGTTTGTGGAGAAATTGGTTTATCAAGAAGCTTATTCAATTTTTAATCGGTGTAATGGGCCGGCTGGGCTGGGCTAGGCTGGGCTGGATCGGGCTGGCTGGGCTGGCTGGGATGAGTTAGAGGTTGAGGTCGTGGTTGTGCGAAATTGGTTTATCAAGAAGCTTGTTCCGTTTTTGACCGGGTGGCTGTTTTGACTTGGCTGGGCTGAGTTAATGGTTGAGGTTGTGGTGGCTGTTTTGAGTTGGCTGGGCTGACATAATGGTTGAGGTTGTGGTTGTGGTTGTGCGAAATTGGACTATCAAGAAGCTAACGCCAATTTTAACCGAAGTGCTGGGCCCTAGCGGTGGTTACAAACAAGGACAAGCAATTTCTAAAAATCACTTTCTTGAGGGTTTAGGGTTTAGGGTTTGGGGTTTAGGGTTTGGGGTTTCAGGGTTTGGGCTTCCTTGAAGGGAGCTGTAAGGCTTACTATCAGGGCTACTGTAAGGGTTTAGGGTTTCAGGTTTGGGGTTTCAGGGTTTTGGGGTTCCTTTAAGGGAGCTATAAGGCTTACTATACGGGTTACTATAAGGGTTTAGGGTTCAGGGTTTGGGGTTTCAGGTTTGGGGCTTCGGGCTTAGGGTTTGCGGTTGCGGGTTTCGGGAACTTTTCAGGTTTTGGGGTTTCGGGTTTGAGGCTTCGGGCTTAGGGCTTAGGGTTTACGGTTTCGGGTTTCGGGAACCTTTTCAGGGTTTGGGGTTTCGGGTTTGAGGCTTCGGGCTTAGGGTTTAGAGTTTAGGGTTTAGGGCTTAGGGCTCAGGATTGCGGGTTCAACAAGGGTTTTGGGTTTCGGGCCTGGGGTTTCGGGTTTAGGTTTCTAGGTTGGGTACGGCCCCCACTCAGTAACAGTTGGATAATATTCATAATATAGATATATAAGGCCCTTAATAGTAGCCCTATTATAGACTGCTACTGTTTGGGGGCCGTACCCAAGTTTTTTTGGGTTCCTTTAAAGGGATCCATAGGGGTACCTTAGGGTTCCTTTAAAGGGTTACTATAAGCGTTCCTTTAAGGGGCTCTTTAGGGGTTTCGGGTTCAGGGGGTGCGGGAGGCCTTGGGGGCCGAAGACCTTACAAAAAACCTGGGGCGCGCCCGTAATTTCCGTACTTAGCGGGCTCTAAGGGTGAGATGAAGGCAGGTGGGGTAATCGCAAGATAAGACTCCTTATGTTCGAGATCCTTAATCCTAGACCCTCAACCCTAAACCCTATAAAACCTAAACCCTATGAGCCCGACATGGCTACCTACCTACCTTCATCCCCCTTTTGAAACCTCCAATGTATCTAGCTGGGTTGTCCTTTGGAATCTCTTTTGGTTTCCGCTACTATTTTGTAGAGAACCATAGCAGTAAATAATTTTCAAAGGGCTCAAAGGACAACTCAGCTAGTGGTTATTAATGGGGTAGTATCCCTTATAGTATCACTTATAGTAGCCCTTTGAAGGAACACTAAGACTGAGTCCCATGACCCTCCGAGTAGTTGAGAACAGGACGAGCTGTCCATCTTCCAGCTCGGGCACTTTCCGGACACGGGTGAAGTACCTGGCCGGCAGTTCGATTTCGAGTTCGCACCAGATATACTATAGAAGATATAGTGTGTGTGTATATATATATATATATATATGTCCTATAGAAGACAGTATATACATATATATATATATACATATATTCATTTAACGATAATTTCTATAATGTGTTACTTACAAAGTGTATAATACATAATGTCAGGGCCACTGTGCTTGACAGGTGCTGGAGCATTGGAAGTGGTACCTCTTCTGTCTGACTTTCGAAAGTCGAGAGTTCACCTCCAACGGTGTCCATTGGGACAAGCATCCTGCACCCGGGACTGCAGAACATTGGGCTTCTTCGGCTTTCCACTGCTTTGGTATGGTACTGCTGTATAGTATATACGACATACTATATGTTATATACGTATGCCATATGCGTTAAAAGTTTATATTCTACGTAGGCTATATACTACATACTGCAAGTCCGGTGCACCGTTAAACTGCTGGGTTGTGAACGCACCCGTTTGACCGGTGTGTTGGACCGCGCCACACCTTGCATCATCACTGCAGAGGCACAAGACACCATGCAGCTGATCGCCTAAATAGGTTCAACAACTGTGAAACAATACCAGAAAACTGCAAACCACACCCAAATTACCGTGAAACTACCACCAATCACTTTCAAGCTTGTTTCCACCAGCAAAGCACCCTTACATATCATTCAGTGAATCACTGCCAAATTGACTTTTTGACATGGGCTCAGTTTTCCACGTGGTTTGCTCCAACGCATCCGTTTAACTGATGGGCTGGACATATACATGCACGCACACACTATATCGCATTCTATGTGCTGTGTTGTATGCAATAGATTGTAGGGCTTCTGCTTGTCTGACAGAGTATCGTTTTTCAGATTTCAATAATCGTGTCGAAACATGTGACCGAATCCCAAAGGACTTGGCCTACCCCTGCATTGTACGAGTGCCTTTGGACTTCGTGGACCTGCAGATCTTGGCAAGAATCTTCAAGGCTCCACGGAGTTACTCGCAAACTACCCTAAACCCTAAACCCTAGCCGGAGGTGCACTGCCTTCTGTAGGGCCACGACTGCAACATTTAGCCACCCATGAACATCCTGTGACGGAATTCCCGCAAATAGCCGCGTCTCTTCCCGAACCCTGACCCCTCAACTACTTTAAATCAGCAAGTTCGATGCACTGGCATGCTTTCGAAGATCACCAGTTTCGTACCAATCCCTGTAAGACTCCTCAATACCTTTAAGTAAGCCAGCCTTACAGAACCGACTAGGCTCTCTAAAGCCGTACAGGAAGTCATGTGAAAATCGCAAACCCTGAGCCCCAACCCTAAACCCTTAACCCTAAACCCTTGAACACCCCGTGAGAACCCCTGCAGAACCCTAAACGAGCGGGGCAACCCTAAACCCTAAAACCCTAAAACCCTTAAACTCCTAAACCCCTAAACCCCTAAACCCCCCTAAACCCCCCTAAACCCCCCTAAACCCCCCTAAACCCCTCAACCCCTAACCCCCTAAACCCCTAACCCCCTAACCCCCTAAACCCCCCTAAACCCCCCTAAACCCCTAAACCCCCCTAAACCCCCCTAAACCCCTAACCCTCAAAGAGAGGTGCAGATCACGGTGTCCCGGATGGGCCGTGAAGCCCTTCGCCTCCTACCGAGCGAGGCGTGGGGTCTGCCCTGAGCAGTTTGAGGTTGGGCTCCTTTAAAGGGATCCATAGGGGTACCTTAGGGTTCCTTCACAGGGTTACTATAAGGGTTCCCTTAAGGGGCTCTATAGGGGTTTAGAGTCTCTGAAAATTAGTGGTTCCTTTAATCAACGATTGAAACTATGGACCCCTAAAATGGGCCCTGAACGCTGGAATCCTTACAATATACCCTGTGCAGACGCTTAAGGGTCCCTAGAACTCCCTCAAAAAGGCGGGTCCATACTAGGAGCACATACTTCTAACCTCAGGTTTACAGGGATCCATGTACTTAAAGGGATCTATAAGTAAGGGTTCTATATAGGGTCTCGGGTTTTTGGGGTTTGGGGGTTTAGGATTTTTGGGTTTTGGAGCTGTCGTTTTAGGGTTTTGGGGTTTTGGGGTTTTAATGTCATCGAGTTTTAGGGTTTTAGGGTTTTAGGTTTTTGGGTTTTGTGTTTTAGGGTTCTAGGGTTTTAAAAGTGGGTTGGCCCTTCTCCCTTAAGCCGACGGCTTCTCGATGCTTATAGTGGAACTCCTTTTGGAGTTCGACTGAAGCAGGGTTTAGGGTTTAGGGTGCTTTCAAGGTTTCGCAGATCCTCAGAGGTTTTTAGATTCCTCTGATGATTCTTGGAGGGGCAGGATGCGCCTCCGTTCACAGACCCGGCTTATGCCCCTCTGCCGCCCACTAGGCTGAATGTAGGGGTCGGAATCATGTGTATAATTATTCCGTAGTCTAATTTGCTAGAATGATACAAGAATCATGATGGCCCCCAAACCAGGTCCCCCATCTTGACCCAACCCTCGCGGAGGAGGATGGCTGTGAGGAGATCGTGCACCTGGTTATGCACGGAGGACCTTTCCGGTGTGTTACCCCGTTGCATGAGCAGCTGCCCGCCTCCTCCCCAAACCTATAGTATCCCAGGGGTTAACAAAGAGGTTTAATATAGTCCTATAACCCCCAAGAGATTCTTAAAGATGATGTTTTTTTTTATGCTTTGGGGCGGGGATTAGCAACCCTCAACCCCTAAAACAACCCCTAAAGCCTCACCCCTGAACCCTGAATCTGAGCCCTAAACCCTAAACCTTAAACCCTAACCCCGAGATGGGAGTTTTGTAAAAGTAGGGGTAGCTTATTTTGGGGTCCTTATAATAACAATCCGACTATTTAGGGTACAATATCAGGGTCCCCTATTTTCGGAAACTCCCAAATAATCCTCGACCCCAACCCTGAACCCTATCCCTTCGACCCGAACCCTAAACCCTGCGAAACCCCGAAACCGGGGACCCTGAAGCTCTCTCTCTCTCTCTCTCTCTCTCTCTCTCTCTCTCTCTCTCTCTCAGTCGCGCAGAGCAAGTCCACAAGCTAGGCCCTAAACCGCGAACATAAATCCCGAAACCTTACTGAACCCGAAACCCTAAACCCTGAACCCTCCCCAAACCCCAGAGCTTCGCTTCACCAGGACTCTGGGCGCCAGTCCTTGGCTTCTTTGGCTGGAATTTTAAGCTCAGGATTTCGAGTTGAGGGTGTAATGTAGGAGCCTTAGTTCCCTATTAGGGTTCCTTTAAAGGGGTTTATAAGGGCTACTATAAGGGTACTATAATAATGTATGTAGGAGCCTGATTCAGAAACCCTGGGCCTATAACCCCAAAACAGTAGGATTCATATAAGGAACCCTAACAAAGGCCCAAGGTTTCTTAATCAGATTCTTGTATTCGGTGTCAGGCTTTCGGGCTTAGGGTGTAGTGTTTAGGGTTAGGGTTTGGAGTTTCGAGTTTAGGGTTTAGGGTTTAGGGGTTTAGGGTTTAGGGCTTAGGGTGTAGTGTTTAGGGTTTGGAGTTTCGAGTTTAGGGTTTAGGGTTCAGGGGTTTAGGGTTTAGGGTTTAGGGTTTAGGGGTTTAGGGTTCAGGGTTCAGGATGGGGGTGGGGTCCCAGGCCTGCGGGTTGCGCGTGCTGAGGCGGAAGGCTGTGGGCTGTTATAAGAGGGTTTTGGGGGTTCCTTGTTAGAGTTATAGCATGATATGCCCCCCCAAACCCCTATTCTACTTGTTAAGGCCCCTACAGCAGGGCGATTTTAAACGCGGACGAAAGGCCCAATAAACCCGACGAGCTCGGGTAGAAAGCAAAGGTAGGCCCAGACTGGCCGGAAGGTTGTGTTTGTTGACAGGACCCTAAACCCCTACGTGCACGCTTAGACCCTAAAACCCCTAAACCCGGAACCTGAAAACCCTTGCAATGACACCCTTAAGCCATTAAGCACTCAAGACCCAGACCCTCCACCCATAAAGCCTAAAACCCCAAACCCCTAAACCCTGAACCTGTAAACCCTTACTTACATCCTTGAGCCCTTAAGTCCTTAGATGTTTATTTCGTAAACCCCAAAACCCAAAACCCCAAAACCCTAAACCCCAAAACCCTAAACCCCAAGCCCTCAACCCAAAACCCCAAACCCTAAACCCAAAAATCTTAAAACCTCAAAGTCCCCCCAAAAACCGGCTTCTCCTCCAAGGCTCTCGGCCTCCTTTGCGGGAGGTCGACTTCGTTGGTTCCGTGGTCCAGCTCGGCCATGACCTGCGCCCTTGAAGGAAGAAGGGGTTCCTCTAAGGGTTCCTGCGAGGCTTTCAGAATAGGGTTCCCTTTAAGGGTATTAAAGGGTTCTTGATGGAAGAAGACGGTTCCTCTAAGGGGTTCTTGCGAGGCTTTCAGAATAGGGTTGCATTTAAGGGTATAAAAGGGTTCTTGAAGGAAGAAGAGGGTTCGTCTTAAGGGTTCCTGCAAGGCTTCCAGAACAGGGGTGCGTTTAAGGATATTTCAGGGTTCCATAGTTCCTTTGAAGGGTTCTTTTAAGGGTTCCTTCAAGGCTTCCTCTACGGGTTCCTATAGAGGGGTGGATTCCTAACAGGTTCCTAGAAGGGGGTTTCTCGAAGGGTACTGTAAGGCATTAGAAGGGTTTGGAGTTCAGGAGCTGTAGTGGATCTTTTTCACGGTTAATGATATTGAGGGCTTAGAATGGTTTTGGGCAGTAGGTCCTTGTTGTTTGAGGCACCATATGAAGGAAGGACATATGAAGGAAGGAATAGGTGCTGGGCTTCAACGCCGGAGGCGTATCCTCGGGCACCTTGCAGTGAGCCCGAAAGCCGAAAGCAGGCGGTGTGAAGATGCCCTCAGACAGCTTGAGGATTCAGGGTTTAGGGTTTAGGGGCCTGTCGATGATGTTTAGAGTTTCGGGTTTGGGGTTTTGGGGTCTCGGACCAGATGCTCTCGGAAGCCCTTGGCCCGAGGCACTGCTTCGAAGCTTTCGCTGAAAAGACGGCTTGCATCCTCGACTTCGACGAAGTGCAGGATTTTTGCAGGGCCTGCGTGGGGAGGCGCCGAGTCCGCGTGCGTGGGTATACGGAAAACCTGCTAGGTTATGAGCGTTGGCCGGGGGGAGCCTGAAATTCGAAAAGATCCGAGCCTGAAAACACTCACCCCAATTCTAACCCGTACAGTAACCTGAAAGAACCCTTATAGTAACCCTGAAAGAACCCGTATAGTAACCCTAAAGATCCGAGACCAGGCACATCATCCCCGTCCAGCGCGAGCGGATCTGCAAGATCGTTGCTTGCGACGGGTCGCAGCATCATCCGCGCTCCTTGGCGGATCATCTACAGGAGGCTTTGCCCGCTCAAACAAAAGGGGCCTTAACAATTACCTAGGGTTTCTTTTAAAGGGATCCTTACAGGGGTCTATACGGGAACTATACTAGGGTTCTATATTAGGGGACTTAACAGTTACCTATACTATTTTGGGGGTTCCTTATGATATTTATAGTAGACTGGGCCCCAAAACCCTCTTCTAATTGCTAAGGCCCCTAAACTAGGAAGTTTGCGCATGCCTTTTCTGAAGGCATGGTACCATTGCTGATGGTGGTTTTCGTTGTTGACGGAAGCACAGAAGGCTACAGTGCCAGTCCTGCGAAGATAAGAGCAGTCTTATCTTGGGTACGGCCCCCACTCAGGACCTTGATAGTAGCCCTATCATGGACTCTTATTGTGAGGGGGCAGTACCTAAAGTCTATCTGTTATAGCGGGCCTTGAAGTCGAACTCCAGGCAATCATGTTTTGGCTGCTTCCATCGGTAAGTTGCAGCTGCTGAGGCTATCGGATACCACAGGTGGGCCGTGGGGCCGTGGGGAAGGGACCGGCGGTTTGTTGGATTCATGGGTTTCTGGGTCGCAAGGTTCCTTTGCCGAGTCAGGAGGGGGCTTAGGCTTTCTGCAGTTTGTCCTTGAGTTTTCTTGGAGTCCCGACCAGACAGCAGAGACCCCCAAGTTTTGCAGTAGATTGATTTGAAGGGATCGAACGGTGCTGCAGAGATTCGTGGGTTTCAGACATTTCCTTCGTTTCGGAGGGGCCCAATGCTGGCACAAGCAAGCCGTCCTTCCGTTGTTGACGCTTGACATCGGGAGTGGCCTGTGTGCATAGGGTCCCAGATCCCCCTTCCAGGGGAGATTCGTTTGACTAGGGTTTAGGGTTCAGGGTTTAGGGTACTATATCATTCAAAGCCAAAAGCACAAAACAGGGGCTTTACCAAAACTGAGGGGCATTGGGCTCACTGGCTACCAAGTAGGGCCCGAGGTCAGGCAACGAACATCGCAGCCCAAACAATTACTGATACCATTTTGTTGGGGGGGGTTTCCTTACGAAATTAGAGTACAGTATACCCCAACGCCCTATTCCAATTATTAAGGCCCCTCTATCATGGAGACAACGGGTTCCGCTCCCGATGAAGGGCCGGTCAGACGCGCTCACAACGGGCCATGAGACCTAAATGCCAGCATGTTGAACCAATGTGGGCAACTTTACTTGGAGGATCATGGGACTTAGTAACTATAGTTATAAGTCCCTTAATTGGGGTTAGAAGTAATTATAAGTATAGTTACCCCAATAATAACCCTAGTTACTAAGTCCCATGATCCTTTAAGTAAGATCCTGATCTCAGAGACCCTCCGGGAGTTGCCGCAGAGACTTAACTCTCTGCACCCTCAACCCTTCATTCAATCCTCAACTCTAAACTCTAAACCCAACCCTAAAACCCTGAACCCTCAACTTGAAACCCTCCACCCCAAACTACAGAACCCCTAATACTCTTTAAAGGAGGCCCTACTAAACGGCGGCGCAAGGCGGCCCAGATGGAGCTGATCTACAGAACCCTGTAATTGGTACCCTTTAAAGGGCCCTGTAATTAGTACCCCGAAAAAAGGGCCCTGTAAGTAGTACCCTTCAAAGGGCCCTACTAAAACCTCCCAAACCCTAAAACAAAGCGGCCAGGTGGAGTTGATGCGGCGTGAGAGCCGGCGCCAGCGAGCCTCGCTAGACGGCCCGGGGCCAGGCGCAGCAGTGCTGTAATGTAATGTAATGTAATATAATGTAATGTAATGTAGGGTTCAGGGTTTAGGGTTTAGGGTTTAATCGTGGGAGTTTCCGAAAATTAGGGTTCCTTTATCAAGAAGCCTTCAGCCTTTAGAATCCTAATTAATTTGGGTAAACCCTAAACCTCAAGCCAGTAGAACCAGAGAATGTAGGGACCTTCGTAATTAGAATAGGGTTCTTTTAAAGGGGTCGAAAAGCGCTACTAAGGGCTGTTATAAGAGGGTTTTGGGGGTTCCTTGTTAGAGTTATAGCATGATATGCCCCCCCAAACCCCTATTCTACTTGTTAAGGCCCCAACAGCAGGGCTTTCAAGTGGTTTCATTGGGCTTGGGGTCTAGGGGGCTCTTGAAGGGTTGCATAAGGGCTTTCGACGGTTCCTTGTGCCGAGATTAAAGGTTTTTAGGGCTGAGGCTTGTTAGTGCAATGCTCAGAATTCAGAGTCTCTGGTGCTACAGTATAACAAAGAGGTCTTAATAATTACCTATACTAGTTCGGAGGCTCCTTACTATAACTATACCCGTCGCACCCTAAACCTATAAACCGTGAACTCTCTAAACCCCTAAACCGCTCCTCCCTAAATCCCCCAAAACCATAAACCATAAACCCTTGAACCAACCCTATAAAGTTTTAAAGCTTAAACCCCAAACCCTTAAACCCTAAACCTCAAAGCAATAGTAGCAAACCAGAAATTACCCGCACACGGGAGGCGACGCCCCAAGCTTCCACGGAATCCCGGACGGTTCGCTCGAGTTTCAGGCGGCTTCGGCTCAAGGGTTTCGGGGTTCAGGGTTTGGGGTTCCTTTAAGGGAGCTATAAGGCTTACTAAAAGGGTTACTATAAGGGTTTTAGGGGTTTAGGGTCTAGGCTTTAGGGTTTAGGGCTTTTGTCTTTCAGGGTTTCGGAGTCAGGGTTTCCGGGCTTAGGGTTTGGGGTTTAGGGTATAGGGTTTGGGATTTAGGGTTTAGGGTTTGGGGTTCAGGGTTTGGGGTTTAGAGTTTCATGGTGTAGGATTTCGGATTCAGGGTTGCAGGGTTTAGGGGTTCAGGGGTTTGGGGAGTTGAGAGTCTCAGGGTTCAGGGGTGGGGGTTTAGGGTTTCAGGGTTTGCGGCGAAGCGCAGAGATGATGTTCCTGCATACGCCGAAGCTGCTATGCTCGTATGATTTTCTAGGATGCCCAGTAGTACCCTTATTCCTTTTTTGTAGTCCTAGGTTCCTTATAAAGTTACCCAATACCAAAAAGAGAGGCCTTTTTGTTCTTAGGTTACTGGGTATCCAAGTTTTTTGTTGCAGCAAAAATGGTCTCCTCATTCCGACCAGGTGCTCCTGGATTTGGTCACTCAGAACCTCGTCTGGAAGAAACGTATGCTGCCATTGTAGTGGGCAGTTTGACCTGGGACTACACTACACTACACTACACCATACCATACCATACCATACGATACTATACTGTACTATTCTTTACTATATTATACGATATATATATATATATATATAGACTGGACTCTAAACTTAATATGCTATAATAAAGATCCAGCTGCGCCTCCTGCAGTGGGAAGTCAGCCCTGAAGCTTTGCCCCGAGTTTTCCGGTTTCCCACAAAAAGCGACTCCAGGTGCATGAGCAGTAAACCAGAGCTCTAAGGAAAACAGGGGTTTTAGGGGGTTTACGGGTTTAGAGTCCCGAAACCCTAAACCCTGAACTCCAAACCCCCCAAATCCTAAATCCTGAACCCTAGCGGTTCCGCTCTGGGACCTCGGGGCATGGAAGTCCGAAAGCTTCCAAGGTTGGTGTGTGAGCGACTCTGCGCCACACGATGGAAAATCGAGGCCAGCAGCAACTTACATGAAGTCGAACATCTAGGAACATGATTGGGCCGAAGAGTTTCAAGTCTATGCAGGGCGAGTTGTCCGGTTTCCAGTTGTCCGATCTACCAGGTTGGGTTTTGACTTGCAGCATGCCTACGTGGCATGGGCGTGACCTCCCCAGTCGCCATGAAAGACACATTCCTTACATTGATTGATGATTCAAGGAATGTTGTTTGGTCATTGGTCATCTGAGAGTTGCGACTGAAGAGCACAGCTGCTTCGACGGCAGGGTGAGCCGCCGGCGAAGCTCGACGACTACGCCAGGCAACTTGGCCCTGAGCCCTCAACCCTAAGCCCTAAACCCAACCCTAAACCCCAAACCCCAAACCCCAAACCCTAAACCCTAAACCCTAAACCCTAAACCCCAAACCCTAAACCCTAAACCCAACCCTAAACCCGAAACCCGAAGCCCCAAACCCTAAACCCTAAACCCTAAACCCTAAACCCTAAACCCAACCCTAAACCCTAAACCCAACCCTAAACCCGAAACCCGAAGCCCCAAACCCTAAACCCCAAACCCTAAACCCAACCCTAAACCCGAAACCCTAAACCCCAAACCCTAAACCCTAAACCCTAAACCCTAAACCCGAAACCCGAAGCCCCAAACCCTAAACCCTAAACCCTAAACCCAACCCTAAACCCTAAACCCAACTCTAAACCCGAAGCCCGAAGCCCCAAACCCTAAACCCCAAACCCTAAACCCAACCCTAAACCCGAAACCCTAAACCCCAAACCCTAAACCCTAAACCCTAAACCCTAAACCCGAAACCCCAAACCCTAAACCCTAAACCCTAAACCCTAAACCCTAAACCCCAAACCCCAAACCCTAAACCCAACCCTAAACCCGAAACCCGAAGCCCCAAACCCTAAACCCTAAACCCTAAACCCTAAACCCTAAACCCTAAAGCCAACCCTAAACCCTAAACCCAACCCTAAACCCGAAACCCGAAGCCCCAAACCCTAAACCCCAAACCCTAAACCCAACCCTAAACCCGAAACCCTAAACCCCAAACCCTAAACCCTAAACCCAACCCTGAACCCGAAACCCGAAGCCCCAAACCCTAAACCCCAAACCCTAAACCCAACCCTAAACCCGAAACCCTAAACCCGAAACCCTAAACCCTAAACCCAACCCTAAACCCGAAACCCGAAACCCCAAACCCTAAACCCTAAACCCTAAACCCAACCCTAAACCCTAAACCCGAAACCCTAAACCCGAAAGCCCGTCCCTCGCACCGAAAGAGTCCATCCCTCGCAGCTCTTGCGTGTCTTTTTCCGCTATGTTGCGGCCCCTGGGCCGACCTTCTCCCGTAGTAGCAGTAGTGGTGGTGGTGGTGGTGGTGGTGGTAGTGGTAGTAGTAGTAGTAGTAGTAGTAGCAGCAGTAGTAGTAGTAGTAGTAGTAGTAGTAGTAGTAGTAGTAGTAGTCGTAGTAGTAGTAGTTGTTGTTGTTAGTAGAAGTCGTAGAGTGGTAGTCGTAAGTTGTTCTTGGTCAGTGTGTAACCGTTTGCTAGCGTCACTTCTACTCTTACTCTGAATATTGCTGTTGGCGTAATTGCGTTTTTCTTGAAACTGATGACCAGTCCCTTTACCAGGTACCTGGACAAACTGGCACACCTCGCGCCGCTGCCTCCGGTGGAGGCATATGATTCGGAGCCTGCAGCCGTGAAACCCCGAGCCAAAACGATAGAGGGTGCAAAAAGCCGAAACCCCAACCCTAAACCCTAAACCCGCAAGAAGCCAAACTGCTGATGCGTCCCAGACCCGAAGCAGCCTGGTTCTCGTTCGGGATGCCGTGACACGCGCTGTGCAGCTTTCCAGTCCTGGCAGAGGGTTCTGGTCTTCGTCTTACCATAACTAAAAAAACCCAAGTAAACCCACCGCACTCTTTTGTGCACTTCGCCAATGTTCTTACAGGGAGCCCACTTCAGGTGAAGCAGATCCCCAGACCGAGACCCTAAAGCCCTAAGCAGTAAAACGTCCCGATGCTCGATGCTAAAGAACCCTCAAAACCCGAAACCATGGAACCCTAAGGCCGCAAACCTTAAACCAAAAAGCCTTAAACCTCTCGGCCCTGAACCCCAGAACCCAAAACCCCAAAACCCCTGAACCCTACTTCACCTAAACCCTAAACCCTAAACTCAAAACCCCTGAACCCTACTTCAGGTCATTGAGATGCAGCTCACGCAGCCCTACCTCCAGCGGATGAAGGGCTCGAGCTCGGAGGTCCGAAATGGTTTGGTTCCAGCAGGTTTTTGATCATAAACCCTACCTGGACCCTAAGGAACCTACCTTTTTAGGGTTCCCTAATATGATTTCTTTCTATAAGTCCTTAAACAGGTAGGTTACTTGGGGTTTAAGGTATACCGTCACCGTATACCTGTAGCCGGAAAGACCTACCTTTTCAGGATTCCTTATTATGGTTTCTCTATATAGTTCCTTAAAAAAGGGTAGGCCTTTTCGGCTACAGGTAAACCTTAAACCCCCACAACCCTGAACCCTAAACCCTAAAGCTTAAACCCTGAGCCCTTAACCCAAAACCCTAACCCCAAACCCTCGACATCGATAAATCGGACCGTGAGGGTTTGCCAGATGCCAGTGAATCAAAGGAGTTTCTGTACTGTTGAGGGTAATGTAGGAAGCTGATTAAGAAACCCTTGGGTCTTATTTAGGGGCCTACAGCCCAGGGTTTCTTAAATCAGGTTCCTACATTACAGGGTTTAGGGTTTAGGATACAGGCTTTTGCGCTCGCGTTTTAGGGCCCCAATGGTTCAGAGCCCTTGATTTGACCCATGCCCGCAAGCGACTCGTTAACCAGCTTTTAGCAGCCTGCAGCAAGAGAACGAACCAATAATCCGGCTTGGTTTCAAGGGTTTAAGGTTTAGCAGGGTTTAGGGTTTAGGGTAATTAAGCCATTCAAGCCGGATGCTGGGAACCGGCCGGTTTGAAGAAGGAACCCAATGCAGGACACAGCACCCTCAGGCACCCAGCCTTCAAAGCCTAGGATGCCCAGTAGTACCCTTATTCCCTTTTTGTAGTCCTAGGTTCCTTATAAAGTTACCCAATACCAAAAAGAGAGGTCCTTTTATTCTCAGGTTATTGGGTAAGGTCCGTCCTGGCACAATGACAGTTCCATGCGTCCCCGTCAGGACATTGCGCCAGGCCGCCGCTCTCTTGAGGACAGGGTTTAGGGTTTAGGGTTTAGGGTTTAAGGTTTAGGGTTTAGGGTTTAGGGTGTAGGGTTTAGGGTTGAGGGTTCTGGGGTGCTTTGCTGCAAATACCGAGTAGATTGGATGTTGTCTTAACACGGCTAAGAGCAAGTGTATTGGTAGGGGGGTGCCTACTACCACTACTACTACTACTACTACTACTACGACTACTACGACTACTACTACTACTAAAACTACTACTACTACTACTACTACTACTCCTACTACTACTACTACTACTACTACTACTACTACTACTACTACTACTACTACTACTACTACTACTACTACTACTACTCCTGCTACCACTACTACTACCACTACTACTACTACTACTACTACTACTACTACTACTACTACTACTACTACCACTACCACTACCACTTGGTATTGTGGCTGATTGGTTGATAGGCATTTCATTTCTTGATACTTCGAGGCCTTGTGCCGCTCCATGCCTTGATACCAGGGTTGGGCAAAGTTAGTTAAACTTCCAAACCAGGGTTCCATGTGAAAGGACAGGTTGTTTAAACAAAGGTGGTGTAAATTGTTTAAACAGGTGGTGGCCCGACCTTGTGCATGCAAGTAGGAGCTTGGCGCTTTCCTTCGCAGACGTTGTTTGAATGTGTATGGCGATTCAATTGCAGTTTGGCAAGCAAGCAAAACAAAGGAGCAACAAAAAGAGTAACTCGTCGGCTTCTGTGAGTCGCTTTTGTAAAACATGGTGAAGCCACTTGCCGAAACTTTTAATAAAACAACAACTGCAAGCTTTTTGATCGTCTGTGACCATCTGCAAACATGTGCGCTGTCGCCGCTTGATTTTGGAGTTGTAGAATTGCAGATTGTGGATGCAACGTGGCCATTGGCTGTGACGGACAGTTGAAGTTTGTATTGTGGTTGATTTGTTTTGTGGTTGATAGGCGTTTTATGCCTTGATATCTCCAAAGGTTGTGCCGCTTGATGGCTTGACACCAGGGTTGGGCAAAGTGCAAACACTGCTGTGTATTTTTTCATGTTGCTTGCCATGAGATTGTGCATCTTGTGCAGATCTCGGTGAGCAAGCGGATTGTGTGAACACAGATATTCATGTGTAGTTTTCGGCCGCTAAGCCAGAGACTGCATTTTAGACTTTTTCCAGTGCCGTGCTTGCAAGCCATGGCTGACTTGACAGCTGCTCCTAAGGGCTGAGCTACAGCACCTTCTGGCCGTTTGGAGCCAGGGCGCCTTCAGCGTCTGTTGGGCCCGCTGCAGCAGGTGTACATGCTGCGGTGACGGACAAGTGCAGGATTTGAGATTGTGGTTGAATTGGTTGATAGGCATTTCATTTCTTGATACCTCGAGGCCTTGTGCCGCTCCATGCCTTGATACCAGGGTTGGGCAAAGTTGGTTCAAACTTCCAAACCAGGGTTCCATGTTAGAGGACACCGTCTCAGGTTGTTTAAAGTTGTGGCCCGACCCTGTGCACGCAATTAGAAGCCTGGCGCTTTCCTTCGCAGAAGTTGTTTGAATGTGTATAGCGAACCAGTTGCAGTTTGGCAAGCAAGCAAAGCCAAGGAGCAAAAAGAAAAGAGTAGCTCGTCGGCTTCTGTGAGACGCCTTTTCTAACATGATGAAGCCACTTGCCAATGCAAACTTTTTGATCGCCAGTGATCACCTGCAAACGTGTGTGTTGTGGCCGATCCGAGACATGACGTTTGACTTTGGAGTTGTAGATTGTAGGTGCAACATGGCCACACATGTCCTTCTCGACAAGACACGAACCTCACCCAATGCCATCGAGTTCGGCTCAAAGGCCTGCTTGTGTAATCTGTGTGCGTGTGTGTTTTTCCGTCCTTCGACCTGTTCCGATGGATTACAGCTCCGTTCTCCCAGGGCTGTGGGTTTCGGTTTTGGTTCGCCGCGGCCTCGCTACTAAGCCGCTGCTACTTCCGCTACTGCTACTACTTGTGATGTTGGTCGTAGCAGGAAAAATCCTAATCATAACCTCGACCACCTCGGACACAGGAAGTGGTGCAGATGCTGGAACCCTCCAAGGGCCCCAGCACGGTAACTTGCCGGCATTGCGAAGAGGCTGAGCCACTTGAGCGTCACCCCAAACCCCTAAACTCCAAAGCCCAAGCTCTCAGCCCTAAACCCCAAACCCGAACGCAAAAGGTCCACTGCCGCAGATCTCTCACAATCTGTGCTTTCTCTCTGTTTGGGAGCGTTCTCAGCTGAAAAGCTCCTTCCACATGGCGCACTAAACCCAGGATCCTGCGGGCCCTAAACCCTAAACCCTGACCCCCGGACCCAAAACCCTAAACCCTGACCCTGAAACCCCTAAAACCCGGTCAGGTTTGGATCCAGTGTCCCAGCAACTTCCGGCCGCTTGCCAGCCAGAGGAACAGCCTCTTGAGCTGCGAGGCTCTGGCTCTGCCATGTTCGGGAGTTAGGGGTTTAGGGTTGGGGGTCTAGGGTACTAGAAGAGTTTTGTGATGGATATTATAAGTGTCCTATGAGGGCATCATAAGGGTACCGCAAGGGTACGGGGATTAGGGCATATTAGGGCACCGTCCCATCTTAAAAGTTTCGAGTTTGGACGGCAAGGACATGCCAGCAAAACTACCAGTTCCGTAGCACCCCCCAGCCAAATTATGTGGCAAGGGTTTGCTGTCAAGCTTCTATACATCAGGCAATGTCCATCATTCCTGCTCAGGGGTTGGGCTTCAAGGAGGTTGCAAGGTTTAGGTTCGGGGGTTTGCTTGCTCCAGACATCCTTTCTCAACATATCTTGCGCCCCGAAGCGGTACAGAAAGAGCCTTTTCTGCCATCGCTGCGCGTCACCATCATTACGGTCATCACAATTTGCAACATGACCATTGCAACGACTGTCATCAACGCTCACCAGCACCAGCAGTCGTACCCTTGTTTTGGAGTTTTCATTGTTGATTCTGAAGCCAGTTCGAATCACCACCGCCAAGAACAACAGCAGCGACCAACTGTTAGAACAGGAAAAGCTAAGAGGCATAATAATGTGAACAGAGACGCCGCCACCAGCACTCACCATCTGCGCAACTGGCGGACACAATCAACCTTAATTCGTCATAGCAGGAACAAAGTTGAGGAACAGAAACAAACCAAGTGTAACAAACTTGTTCGGTAGTGGCTTGAATGATCATAGTGTTAGCCGCTGACACCATGATGAAGCAGAACAACACAACTAATAGGACTGAAAATGAAGGGTAGTAATGATGTTATGATACAGACAACGGCTTGATGATAAAGGACGGAGACGATGACGGTCGCACCGACGCCAAACTCTACGCCGTCGGCAAGACTGACGAAGCTGCGGCCGACCTCGGAGACGACGACGACGACCGCGACGACGGCGACAACGACGGCGACCCCTTCGACGACGATTGCAGCGACGACTGCGACGATGACGCCGGCAGCGAAGACCCGCAAAAAGAACACGGCAGGCGGGCGACTGGATTGGGCTCACGGGGCTCGGAAGGGAATACCCTGACGGTTCGCGGCTGCGCCTGGGCTATGAGATAATGAGAATGCATGGTTTATCCACATAGGGTTTTGAGTTCTCGATGAAAGCTTCTCTTCCGTAGTGCCAGTTGCAGTCTTTCCAAGAGCTACCGAACACAGCTGTGAAACCGTAGGTAACAAGTTTGTCAAATCTCTCAGTGTCCTCTCAAAAGCCATCCTAAACCCTAAACCCCTAAACCTTAAACCATAAACCCTAAACCCTACACCCCTACACCTTCCTTGGTCTTTGAACTTCAGGGGTCGAGCTCCTGAGCCCCAAGCACCCTCCAAGCCCCAAGAGAAGGCGAAGAGACCATAGGTTTCCTTTAAGGGAGCTATAAGGCTTACTATAAGGGTTACTATTGGGGTTAGGGGTTTCGGGGTTTAGGGGTTGTAGGTTAGGGTTTAAGGTTTTGGGGCTTTAGGGGGTTAGGGTTGGGGGGTTTAGGGTTTAGATTAGGGTTTAAGGTTCAAGGGGTTAGGGTCGGGGGGTTTAGTATGGGTTTTTGTTTCAGGAGGCGCGCAGATTCTTGGACCACTGCTTGTATCTCAGAGTCTGAGCCACAAAGTCCTGCTACAGACCGTCGACTTTGTGGATTCCAGTAGGTCTGTGTTGCGAATACTGCCTCTCGCTGGCAAAATTTTTGGCGCAGGAAAGGGAGCTTCGTGTTTCCCTCAAAAAATCCACTGTGTTCGCACCTGGAGCGGGTGACGACATGTACATATCATGTTATGAGACATGGGATAGACGGGGCGGTTTCAAAGTCATAAATGGGTTATGAAGCAATTCTTAGGTCTGCGGTGCAGACATGACCCTGATGCTCTTCATCGGTCAATTTCTCGAACCTGTCGTAGCATGCCATGGCATGATAGAAGAATTGATGAGATGATCCTGCAGGCATGCCCTAAACCCTAAACCCTAAACCCTAGACCCAGACTGCGGCCAAGGCTCTTGGCGAAACCCGCGGGTCTCAAGGGTGTGCCGCCACTTTGCCCGGCATGTTGGGACTCAGGGAGTTTAGGGTTTTTGAGGATTTGGGATGTAGGGTTTGGGATTGAGGGTTTGGAATTTAGGGTTTGGGATTTCGGGTTCGGGTTTAGGGGGTTTAGGGCTTAGGGTTTCGGGTTTGGGGTGTTCCTATGTGTTGGTCTTAGGGAGTTTAGGCCGTGGGGGCCTTCAGGGGTTCAGCTCTTTTCATGCAGGAAATGTCCGCATGCAGTCGTTTAGGTTGCTGCCGGCTTGACCAAAACAGGGGATGATCCTTGGGTAAGTTTAAACCCCCTTATCTTAGACCCTGAAGCCTAGTAGAGCCCTTGTAGATCTCATAAAGCCTCTAAAACCCTAAACCCTAAACTGTAAACCCTAAACCCTAAACCCTGACAAGAACCCTAGTAGAGACTTTGTAGACCTCTTAAATCCTCTAAGACAGCCCTGAGAAGAACACTTGAGACCCTACGAGGGTTCCTTTATAAGGGTTCCTTCACTTCAACGATCCCTTTAAAGGGTTCTATAATGAGGGTTCCTATAAGGGCTGTACAAAGGGGCCTTACTGGTTTGACTAGGGTTCCTTTTAAGTCCAATATGGGGCCCTATACTACTAAGGGTACTTTATAGGAGCCCCCATTAAGAGATCTACTTTTTGGATCCTCCAAAGGGGGTCTGGGAAGGAGCTCCAGCCGCGTTCCGAGGCGGTGGATCCTCAGCGACGTGATTTCCCGCTTCTCTGTCAGGGAGGAGCCGGGGCCCCGGTCTTCGGTCTGAGAGGCCCGGAGGCGCTGGTTTAAGGTTTCCCAGAGACTCCATTTTCCCTTAATTAAGGAATATACCTTAAATTATAGTAGGATTACTAATATGATTTAAGGTATATTCTTTAATTAAGGTATATTGGAGTCTCTGGGTTAGGGTTTAGGGCGATTGGGTTTGGGGTGGGGTCAGTAGGGTTTGGGCCATTCGGGTTTAGGGTTTAGCGTTTAGGGTTTAGGGGTCAGTAGGGTTTGGGCCATTATGGTTTATTTAGGATTAAGGATCATTAAGGTTGGGGCCATTGTGGCTTCCGGTGTTTCGGGTGTAGGGTCAGATCAGGGACGTTGTGCTCGTTTTGACGGTGAAACATCAGCTGGCTGCACTTTAGCCCTCTCGGCCATTCGGGACTCTCAACGAAACTTACTCTCGATTGGGCCCGCCTGCGTGTGTGCGCACGTGTGCGTGTGTGTTTGTCTCTGTCTCTGTCTCCCTCGCTCTCCCTGTATACATG